ATAAACTACGGATTCCGCTATATATCTAGTCCATCCTTCAAGATTCTCCAGTAATTAATTCAAGTACTAATACACCCCTATACTTGAATACACCCTTCTTATATAATATCTTATGAATTACTTGCTTACTTCATAATAGGCACCTGACGCCAGCTGAACCTGCCTGACGGCCTACGAAGACAGTGTTAGGATCGTAATAAGAATGCACTGTATGACGAAACTTGCTCGAAGAACTCAACTCGGCCGCCGGGCCTGGCCCGAACTGGGTCAGAGACACAAGGACGGCTGGCAAGTTGAAATTTTTTCATCAAGTCACTGGTCCATAATACTGATTCATCGTGACAACTAGTCTTTCCTCGAGCTAGATACAGTTTATTCCTACAGATGCTGCGAGTCGAAGAAAAGGCTGCACCTTGTACTATATTTCCTTTTTCCGCTGACGAGAGTGAAATGCAGGAGAGAGAAAATTCGATGGGCTTGTGAAAATTTTATGTGATGAAGTGGCGGTGGAGATTTTGGGGCGGGGCGGAATGAGGAGGGCGGCTCGAAGTGGATATTCTATTACCCCTCATTACTCCTCTTAAGTACCTCTACAATAGTACTACATCAGCTAAGGTATCGAGTGCAGCCTTGCTAGCAGGAAAAGTGAAGAAGTAAAGACGATTTTAAGTTTATTTTATTAATTTTCATTATTTGAACTTAGGAAAAAAACTTATTCCTGTATATATTTTTAAATATAAATATTTTACGTAAAATAAACGGTATTTTCTTGAAGAAAAAATTAGTGCGAGGAGGAGGGATGAGTTTATAGACCTTGAAGGGCTTGAATTTTAGAAGTATCTTTACTTGCAAAACAGTCCTCGCAGAGAACCCCGGTCAAGCCCTGGTTTCAGGCAAAGATGTCTGATCCCTTTGCGAGAGCTGCATCGCACACCTTTGTATAGTCGTCTGTTTAGCTCTCATTCGAGCTATCAGGTCTTATCCTGCTTCTCCAGACTAGAATTCCTGACCCATCTATCTGAAGAAGCATCAACTTAAGGGCTCTCTCCCGACGCGACATGTTATGTGGATCGACCCGAGCCTGGAAATGTCAGAACAGTCTTCATAAGAGTACGGAGTTGCCTCGCTCATGCTGATTGGCGCCCTCGGACGCCCGCCATAAAGTCTTGGCAATATTTGCTTTTGCTAGGCAACCTCGAGGCACACACGGGCAGCGACCGACACATGGAGACGTAATGAAATGAGTCCCATCACTTGATCCTCCGGTCCATACGAACGTCAAACTATTCGGGCACGCAATCCCAGGTGTCTTCCACTCTGTTCTGTGGGCTGGGCGGTGGTTCTTTTCCCAACTGCGCCGAGGTCTCTCCAGCCTTGCTGGATGGCGCCTGCAGGGGCTCACCCGGCTCTTCCCCGGACAAGGGTGTGCGCGTCAACATTCAGGCTTTTTCAACTTCTGCCGTAAGGAAAAACATAATAATGTCTTGCAACGCCCGGACTTGATAACAAGTCGTGGTACATTCATTCTCTGGAGGTCATGGACTTGGCCTGGAGCCTCTGGGAGTTTCAATTCTACGAGCTGTGATCTATCATAATATTCGCTATCCATCCCTGAGAGTTCAAGGGCACTGGCTCGCCAACCAAAGGGCGTTTGGATTCAAAACTTTGTAGGATTGGGAACGGCCCGAGGTTCGTATCTTCCGTAAGGCAGCCCTCCAGCTGCCGGATGGGACAGACTCTGGTCTTTCTTGGGAACTGAGGGCTCAATATCCAATCACATCCTTGACCTCGGAATACTCTTGTCACCGCTATCAATGTTGTTTGCAGGGACACCGCTTGCAGGCGAGATCTTGCTTGATCGAAGTCCCTTCGTTCAATTTCCGTTACCTGGATCGAGAAGCCGGGTTGCACTCGAGTAAACACGACTCTCGTTTGCGTAGATCAGCGCGTCACAATGGAGGTCGGGGGTGAGGGAAGTACAACACGCAATCTTCTTTTCGGTGAAGCCAAATCAGACCGGACTGATGGAGCGTGTGTGTGATACAAATTGAGCCGTGCATGCATATATTGACAACGCACCCTGTCAGTCCCACGAGTGTCACACAGAAGCTCTACCTGGCACTAGATAATGCCCGTTTTTCGGTGGAGTTTTTACGCTTTTCGAGGCAGGAAATTATAGTGATAGGTCTCAACTCACTTCAAGAAACAGATATGATTCCAGTTTCCATGCTCTGTTCCGGCAGCTGAAAACTGGTAGGTACTAGCTACATCTTAACGAAGGTTAAAGAGGGCTATGCCTTTTGGGTGGCAGCCTAGCGGAGGGTTCGTACAGGGTTTGCGAAACTCTTGTCATTTCTTTCCATGCCTTCAATCACCAAATGTTCCTCCCGTCATTACCTTCAAAGTTGGGCTGCACCCAAGACTGAACCTTACAGCTGTGAAGTTGTGATCGGCTCGCGGCCGGGAACTCCAGCGCCAATTTTTGCGTCTCTGTCCCGTACCGAAATCTGTTTCGTACCCCTACCTACTTGTAAATTTCAATCGTGATTCGGCCCAGTTAACGCCCGCTTACGCCATCCGGGAACACTTGCCCCTATTTTGCCATTCAAATGACTTCTGAGTAGCTTCTTCCCAATACAGCACTGCTGTCGACACCTTCTCGCATGGCCTCGACCAATCCTTACATGCATTTCGGATGCTCCTGGTCTACTTCCGGACCTACAGACCTACAGAAGGCAGCGAGGAAAGCGAGGAAAGCATGATTTGATAAAAAGATACGGTAGCTCCAATGAAATGTCGAATAATAGCACCGATGTGCCGGTTTCGTGAGCCCGCATGACGGCTCGGCCTCTCAGTCTTTGTGCCCTGCAGGTTGATCCGTCTCATTTCTCTACCACAATGCTCGTACGAGCTGTCCAATCCATGTACACACATATCTGGTAAATTCCATGTTCTGTTAACATCAAGTAATCCCAATAGTAAATATTTGGTGTGTTTCTTCGGGTGTATAAATACTGGATCATTCACCAGCTTACAGGATAGAAATGTCTTTCGTCTTGTCTCGTAATCAGCCTCCCCGATCTTCTAATAGCGATAATCTTGCCGTCTCTCTCTTCCGTCAAGACCAACGCCGCCATTAAGGAAGCTTTGCTTCCGTCCCATCCCTTCCAGCGGATACTCTATACCTAAAGTCTCTTCAGCCGCAGAAATAGCATTATATCCCGCGAGTATTCTCGATTATCCCACCGTCCCTCATCTTGACATGACCCCGAACCAAATCTCGAGGTCTCTTACGCCTCTAGGAATTCATGCTAATGTGTGTTTACTGCAGTCGTTTATCAACACTTCGCGTTGATAACACTATCTCCATAGAGCAACCCACGATGTCGAACAGCCACCCAGAGTCGACTGGGAGCGCCCCGAATCCCGAGCATCTTCGAGACGCCAGCAAGGAGAAGACTTCAGATGCAGAAAGAAAGCGGGCTTCGGATGTTATAAAGAGGGGACTCGAGCAATTAGGCCTCGACCTCCCGGACTTTCTGGTCGACAAGATAGCAGCTACCTATACTGGTATGTTGCCTCTCGAACGATACATTGAAGAGACGCTGGGGCTGAAGAGTCAGCAGTGATAATCCTTGGCGTGGCATATCTGGGCATATATATCAATTGATATGTGTATATGGAATCACAAAAAGGATCTTCTACGCCAAGACCGATTAGCTGCACAATACGATTTACCCCGATCGCAAATAGTCTATAGAGACATAGCATTGTGAATAATAAGAGGGTTCCTCTCAGACCTCTTATGTACTCCACTGCTACCAAGACTCACTGCTGAAACCAAAGGTCTCATGACGTTGTTGTATCCTCAGGTAGTCTAGTGGGACCTAGATATCAACTGAGGCTATCCTTCAGTCCCATGTAATCGGTAGAAACTCTGGCCTGGACAGTGTTTGGACTAAGCATAAATAGCCCCGTGCACACAGCAGTGTTCTCGGGATTTGCTAGCGTCCCTGCAAGGGACGCGAAACTAACGATTTAACGGGGTCTGCCAACTGAGGATGGATAGCCCCTCAATACTAGAACCTCCGACTGCGCCCTCTGTAGTATATATAGCCCTTTAATCATCCGAAATACCACGACCTAAGTGTCCTTGCGATCCAAGATACAGGAGTCAAAGGATTGGAGCGAGACACAACCAATCGGAAGACGACCGGTAGGACCGGTTGGCGGTCTCAACAAGCTAGCATGCGATCTCGCAAGGTACACGTTCGTTTCCAGGGACCGGGCCAGAGAAGTGGCGGTAAGTAAGACGCAGGGGATTTCGGGAGGTGCAAGAGATGCTTGTATAGCCTGGCCATGTCCTTGCGCGAGGTGACCAAGTTGTTATCCTAAGGCAGGCACGAACTGCATTTCCCTCAGGAGGTGATTGACGTCATGCGCGCGTGGGATTTATGATGTCATTCGCGTCAAGAAAACCAAGCCAAAGCAAGTATTCCGACACTTTATATGCATCATTACCTTGCTAAAAGGGATTCGTTTACTCAGGATCTCTTAGCGATGCCGCAACACGTTCGCATTGTAGATGTAAGAACAGGTACTTGACGTAAATATGATGCAAGGCCACGATAGAACACATCCTGTCCCTGGATCTTAGATGAGCATAAAAGTATTTTCAGTCTTCAGAGCCAACAAAAAAAAAATGATGTCTTCCCGTCCGAAATACGCATTTCTCTACGAACAGTTTTCACCTCAACACGACTGATTGCACGCTGAATTGTTACTATTGTTTCCGCGACCTCTAAAACCTCTAGAGCGAAATCCTGATATCAACAACCCTTGGAACCTTCGAGTCCGCAAGAAAGACCGAAAATGGGCGCTGTCATTTCCTGCGTACGTTTATATTAATGTGATTATATTCAGCTTCTTTATACCTTTTCCGCAGAGTGCCTCACGCAAGTCCTGTGGCTCCGTGCTAATCTACGCCCCCACAGATTCAATCAGTCCTCCAATCCATCGGTGCCGTGCTGAGCAGTATCGTCAGCAGCATCGGCGCTGTTTTACACGCTATAATCAGTGGCGTCGTCTCCATCTGCAACGCCGTCATTGCCTTCATTACATGCGGCTACTGCGGACGTCGGAGGGGTGTTGGAAGGCGGTACCGCACCTACCACCGGCGACCGGCAAGGATCTAGGCTGGAGAGGGGTCCGAAGGTGGGAGGGTGAGAGGACACGAGGATACCATTTATGCCTTATGATAAGTTATAACTGGGCGGTCTATTTTCGCGTAGAAAATGGCATAGGACATAATGCAGAAAATTGTAGTGGTTAATTACCCTATTTCATAACATATTTGGGCGGCGGTTTACACGACCGCCCTTACTTCTGAGCGTAAACGACATGACTAGAGGTATTGGTATTAGCATCGCGGTGGTTTGGTGAACCCAAAGATGGAGAAAACCGATAGACTTACAAATCGAACAGGGCATGGATCCTGGGGTTAACCAAATCCTTCCGCACCTTCGCCAACAGGGCCAAGATCTCCTCCTCACTCCATTTCAAAACGCTAGTGTAGAGCCTCAACGTAAGGCCTTCGAGCCCTCCATTGACTTGCAGATAGTTTAGCAGACCAACTTCCTTCAGCAGCGGGTCTTTAGCCCAGGGCCCGATGGGAATCCTGTACCGCTTATGCACGACATTTTTAAAGCCGGCATCTTTGACCCACCCTTCCAGTTTAGAGCCGGGGTTGGGATCTCGTCCGAGTTTGCGGGCGGCCTCGAGCAGAGTAGAGATCCAGGTCAGTAGCGGATCTTCGGGTTTCAGGGAGTCGTCTTCAGAATAGTACTGGAGATCAAAATCTTGAAATTCGCACCATCCTCCTGGTTCCAAGTTCCTGTTTCCGCAACAATTGTTTTTTTTAGAATTAGTAAAAGAATGGAAAGGTGCGAGTCGTGAGAATGTTAATGAAACGCACTCGTAAATAGTGTTAACGAGTTTGGGCCAATCAAAAATGCTGGCAGCCATATATCGACAGAAAATCCAGCTGAACTTGTCTTGATGCAGCCACGGACTCTCGACGTCATCTACCTCGAACTTGACATTCGGGGGTACAAACGTAGGCATACTAGCGCTAAGGTCATTTCCAATCACCTAAAGAGGGAGTCAATGCCTTGTTTCAAGGTAATTTAATGCAAAAGTAGAGTAACTGAGGGGATAGAAGCCCCACTACTGAGGGCTGCCGTACCGTGGCATTTGGGAATTCGTCACCAATGGAGATGGCCCCTTTCATAGGTTAGCAGGTAGTTGCGATGGTCGCAAGTGGGTTAGGCAGCTCACAAATTCCTGTTCCTGTACCAATATCAAGGATCCGTTTGACTGTGCTCTTCTCTATTGGGGCAAGGTACAACCCGCCTATGCTTCGCGTCATGATATCGTGGAGAAGAAGTAATCGTTCCATTTCGGGCTACGGTAGAACTCGTTAGATCGCAACTACATTTTGGTAGACTGTGGATGTTTGTTATGCTATTTCATACCTCATCGTTCGGTCTTGAATATCCTGTGCATTCTAGTTAGTGATGAGACATAGTACGTCGTCGGGCGAGGGCATGATTACTCCCTGATCTATACGCATGGTAGCGGCGCCCATGTTCTACAGGATAGTTGAGGACACTAGAAGATAAGGAGGATGTGTAACTTGATCTGTTTTTCCCTCCCCATCCCAGAAATCAATTAGCTGGCCATTCTGAGAAAGGGGAGGACCCTCAATTGTTTAATGCTCACCGCATATCGATAATCGCCGAGTCATCGTCATTTCCGTCGACCTAGATGAGACCTGTCAATCCATATGCTGAAAGTAACGTTCCTTATTTACTGGGAATTTTCAAGTGCTCACGCCTTCGTCGACTTGGATCAAGCCATCTCCTCCCGGGACTTCCGAGTTTTCGGTCTGGTGTGTATCCTCCTGCCTCGCTTCAGGAGAAGAAGCCGACCGATCCTGTGCCTTGTCCCCCATGAACGCTTCCTGACGCCTTTCTGAGGAGTGTAGATGTTTTTCTATACTGTTTCCCGAGGTAAGCGGTCGTTATTAGCGCGCTACTTGAATATTTGCGAGAAGCTTGGAAAGTGAGGGGGTGAAATTTTGTTGACAGCAGAGCAATGTGGGATTGCAGCAAATATTGAATGCCTATTAATATCTCCCCGCTCCCGAGGTGAATAAGCATAATGCTACGTCGCACGGCTTTGAGAATTTCCGTCGATATTCGCAACAATGAATCGCTCAAGGTGGATGCTCGACACCTTCAATCGTCATCTTCGCGCTCGCCTGGAAAGCCGAAACCTGGCATGTTCTTGAAATTACTCGAGTGTAATAACGACCAATAGTCGACTTACCATACAGTATTAGCCATAGCTTCGAAAATACAAAAACAATAGGGAACTAGATCTATATGGCCACACTTCCTTTCTCTACAACGGGATTGAGATGAAGTTGGACGTAGTGTAAGCCATAAGGCTGGGGTTCATGGGTCATTTGGCAATGTCAGACGGGAGCTAACTTGAAATCTCACTAGCGGCGGCTAGCCCAGATCCTGGGACACTACTTTAATCTTTCGTCTCAAATTCGATTCATTGTTGCGAGACTAGTACTAGCCCCCAGGCCCTGCCTGGCCAAGAGCTTGCGCATAAGGGCTGGATCCATTTACCCGACTGCAGAGAATGATACATATAGAGGGGAAAAAAGCGTTCAATTGATATTAAAAAAATAAATATGTAAATGTATTTTGAAAACGATTGGGAAGTAGTTAAAAAGCACGTTGAAACCAAGTAGGAGGAGAGATGAAGTACTTGTCGCGAGCCAGGATCGTGACTTTTCTAACACATCCCCCCAGAAACAAGCGAGAGCCAATCATCTCGTCGATTATCAGCAGGGGAAGCAACGCTTTCGGGGGCGAGTCATTGGGTTCCGGTCATGCTCAAGTTTGGGGTCCTCTCCTCTAGCTCTACATGCATTACTTGCAACACCTCAGTTTTACCAGCATCTCGGAAATCCCCTCCTCACTAGCTGCATGACGGACCAAGGTTACGGTAACGAGTGCATAACCTTTTAAGAGTGATAAAATAATCTCGACTGCTGTTGAAGCTTCCTCGTTTTGATAACCTAAATCAGCTGGGGTACTGTTGAACCTGGCCAGCACCTAACTTGTAACAGATGATAACAGATACCAAAAAGTAAAGGAAAAAGAGACCAGTGAATCAGAGCCGTGCTCTGATGGAAAGCGTTCCTGTCCGGTATCAAAGTGTTGCGGAAGTCTCACCGCAATCCCGCATCACAAGAAACAACCAAGCGGAGGTGATTGGTGTTCCACCCTCCCCTCACAGCCACGAGCCGAAGAGTCGAATGTAGATAACCTTGACGAGTTGAACTTCGAGACAATATACGAGTAACTCGGCCGCCAGGAATCCTATGAAAGAGGCCGCAGGCTGGGCAAAGGAAAATGCCGACTGAAATGGAGGAATCCAAGGGATGACGAAGCCAATTACCATGATCGAAATAGTTGAGGCGACAAGAACAGGCGATGCTCGGCTCTGCAGGAAGGGTATCTTGGCTGTTCGCAGAAGATGGACAATCAAGGTTTGCGTAAGAAGCCTATCGAAGTTGTTAAATAATCCGCTGAATCTAGGCTCGAGTCGGGGAGTGAGAGCAAGGACAAGGGAAAAGAGGGCGGCCGAAACTGACCCTTGGAGGAACCAATGCGTCTGGAAAAGTTTCACAGCATGTGCGTCGCCGGCTCCCTGCACGCCATAGAAGAACCACCCAAGCAGAATGGTACAAATGTCAATGGTCGAACTGGTAGGCCCGAGAACAATGACAAACCGAAGGAGTTCTATATCTCGAGCTATTAGAAGGCCTTCATCTGTTTCTCTGTTCGGCAATTGTACGGAGTCCTAGGAACGGCCGCTACTTACCAACTGGCCTCCACGTTCTAGGCAGCTGCAAGTACTCAGCATCGACCCGATCCCACGGGAGTGCAATCTGGCTTATATCGTAGAGAAGATTCTGGGCGAGCAGTTGTAGACTGGTCATCTGGGAAAGGCGTCAGCTTGTGATCAGCTCCGCCGAAGCGAAAGAGCATTATTATGGCGTACTGGCGTGAAAGGAAGCTAGGCGCTGGCGGCGAGAATGCTGAACACGTTGCCAAAGTTCGACGACGCAACCATCTAAGGAGGTATTAGTGAGACAACTCTCTGTGGCCAAGTTAGGGCGCTAATTTCACAACTCACCTTGATGTACTTGATGAAGTTGGCGTGGGTAATACGCCCGACAGTAACGCTGTCAACAATAATACCAGCCCTTTCTCGGTCGGAACGAGACCGGCGCAGTCCTTCGCAACAGCAGCCCCCGAATCAACAGAAATCCCAACATCTGCCTCACGAAGAGCGATGCAATCATGGACACCATCGCCCAACATTCCCACACAATGACCGGCCTTGTGTAGACTAGCCACAACCATGGCTTTCTGATCAGGTGTCAATTTCGCGAAGACCTTGCAACTCTTGACGACTTGGTCGAACTCCTCGATGTCTCCTTCGAGCTGTGCCAAGTCCGGGCCTGAGATGGACTGGATCTCATCTTCTGCCACCTCATCCTGGTTCACTAATTGAAGCGATCTGCAGACGTTGAGAGCGACGGCTAGATTATCTCCGGTAAGAATCTTGACCTCCACGCCCAGTGCCTTGAGTTTGGTAATGGACTGGGCGGCATCATCCTTGAGTGGATCAGAAAAGCTGACCATGCCCTCAAGAATCATCTGCGACTCTAAAGCCTCTAGGCGGTCCCCGTCATCTAGATCGAACTGGGGGATTTGCTTCATGGCCACCAGAAGGACGCGGTAGCCCTCAGCGCTTAGCTTGCCCACTTTCCGCTCCAAATTTCGGCGTGCCTTCTCATCAAGGCGAGCTGTCTGCCCATCTACTCGTACGGAGGAGCAGAGAGCAAGCACCTCGTCAAACGCACCTTTGCAGATGAGGATGTTGGCACCAGTTACGCCGCGAACAATGCAACCTGATCGACGACGTTCGAAGTTAAATGGAATCGCCATGACTTTCTTGTGCTGCGCGACTGGAACGGAAATCCTGTTTGCCAAGCGAAAATTGAGAATAGCAGCATCCATGTTATTGCCGCTACTACCCTGCATTGAAGAGTCGATGGTGGCGAGTTTTAGGACATCGATGTTTTCTTTTCCGGTGCTGTCGAGATAGCTGCGTACAGATATTTCGTCTTTGGTCAGAGTTCCCGTCTTCAAAGAAGACCTAAGTGTCAGTTAATGCTCCTTAGGTGAGGGGAAAAGGAAGCAACACGACATACCTTGTCGCTGCATAGGACAGACATAGCGCCGAGGTTCTGTACCGACTCGAGCCGCTTGACGATGGCCTTTTTCTTTGAGAGCTGGTAGGCGCCGCGGGCAAGGTTTGCATTTACAATCGCGGGCAACATCTCTGGGACCAAACCGACAGCGACGCTGATGCTGAAGAGTGCCGCATTTCCCCAGTCCCCAGTCGTTTTCCCCGAGACACAGAGTACCTAAATTGTCAGGAAACCTTACAAGTTCACGATTTAATTATCCGGATCAACGTGCCACTTACAACGGGAACCATTACGGCCATGAAACCGATCAACATCCAACTGACATCCCGAATTCCTTTCTGGAAGGCATTGACCTTGCGGCGTTTCTCCAGCTCCTTGGCCATACTCGCAATTAGAACATCTAGTAACATTAGTAGAATTCAGCTCTTTAACTTGGATGGAAGTATTTAACGTACCATCACCTGTCCGAAGCACGAGAGCTGCTCCGCTCCCAGAAACAACGCTCGTACCCATGAAGATAATATTTGCCTGGTCAAAGATAGGGATATCATCCTTTCCGCCGTCTTGAATAGGCATTTTCGCCGTAGGCTCGCTCTCACCCGTCCAAGTGGATTGGCCGATTCGCAGAAAGGACGACTCCAAAATGAGGCAGTCGGCTGGCACCACGGCACCTGGTGACAAGAGCACGACATCACCCGGTACAAGATCTCTTGTTGATGCCTCTGCTTCCGTTGGTGCAGGATGTTTGTCAAGGACATCGCCACGAGCGGTAGGTCGGCAGACTTTGAAACTGGTGCTGATGGATGCCTGGAGCCTAAACATTGCCATAGCACTTCGGTATTCTTGCGAGAACCTGACGGCACACGAAACCACCACCATGGCCATCAAAACGGCAAACCCTTTCTGTCGCGACAGTTAGAAACCAGAATATTGCCACTGAGTTAAGGTTTATATTGCTTACCCAGTTCGGAGGAGGTATAGCGGCGTTGATGATGGCCAGGAAGATCAAGAGGATATTGAATGGGTTCGGGATCACCGACAGCAGAAGCATAAACCACGAGGGCGGCTGATGGGATGACAAAACCTTGGGGCCTTTTACAAGGCGACGGTCCGCCGCTTCAATGTTGGAAAGGCCAGCCAGGCTAGTCCCGAGATGATCGAGAACTGCCTCCATCGGCATACAGGCGAATGCGCGTAGAATGTCATCTCGAGTGGGGTCTCCGCTAGAGCTAGGCGGAGTTTGCCAAGACGTCGTCGAAGAGGCTACTTGGAGTGATCTCTTGTTGAGGGTGTGGAGACGGAGTTTAGCGCGGCCGGACCGGGCTTTATCAGCAGCCGGCTGCCAACGTGCCTTGAGCCAGTCAGTGAGAAATGACATGTTGCCATTTACGAAATAGCGTTCTGGGTTTTACTTTTGGCCTTCTTTTACTGCGAGGCCGGTATTAGAGTGCGTTCAACGAACCATAGCTGATGGTGTCAGCGCGACTTTGAATCCTGCGGAAGGAAGCCGCTGAAATGTCTAGAATGGAATTATTAGCCTCTAAAGGCAACTTTTTGCCTCTTCATGGCGTTGTATGCATACGTTAATGTCGGAATTCCTATGGTGGACGGAACCGGGTAGGCCCTGACGGCGTCAATGCTGCCGCCAGGATGACCTTCGGGTTTGAGCTCAGGGTGGCCAGAATTGCGAACTGGGCCAGCTCGACGGCGCTGGCAGATAGAATCTTGTTCTTGAAGAGTGAAAGTGGAAGAAAGCAACGTGGGATTGATTTAAAACGATATATAAGAACGGTCATTTCATGGCAACCTTCGATGTAAGTCTCAGTTAAATATTTATAGTCACGATATCATTCAGGTTCACAGATATGGAGCAATGAGCAATTTTCTGAAAAGACAATTATTTTCCCTTCTTCGGACGCGTCATCTAAGTGACAAGAGACAAGGCGCTTTCCCTTCCCGAGCCAAATCTAATGGATACGAGAACACCCCAAATGTAGGTGATGTGACCACCCCGGGGTTCAAAAGGGGGGGTATGTCTCTCATAAGTATCTGCTTCGTTAAACAGCCCAGCAATCTGCCTTGCAAATAATACCCAAGTTGCACTTTTGGAGGAATGGAGCTTGAAAAATTTTTTTTGCGTGAGTCTTCCACCGAGCTAACCTAATGTTGTTGCTTGTGCCACGCCAACATAGCCCCGTTCTTACTTCGCGGACGGGATTGGAAAATCCAGACCATATGCAAGCTGCCTTGAGAGAATTGATATTCCCTTCGCATGTAGATCTAGAATCGGCGCATCCATATTGCTCAGATTGCTCGAAAATTTCGAAAAAAAGAGGAGTCTGGAGCACATATGTTCATGATAGCAAGCAATACCCTCCGCGTATCTTCGGGTCTTATGACGCTCCAGCTCGATGATCAACCTCGGCCTGAAAGTGGCGGTCTGAAGTGATATGTCACCGCACTGAGCTTCCCCTCCCTACATGAAAGGACTTTGAAGTAACCACCACGCGCGCGATCAATGGCCCGGTGGGTGGCAGCCCGCTTGGCTAGCCGTTGCGGTATGTTCCTTGTAGATACCATTGATGGCCCTCTGGACTAGAGCTAAAGCCCGGAACCGTACACCATCATGCCCCTCATCTCAAGGCGACAGCGATCAGAGGAATAATAAGAAAAAAGAAAAAAAGTTCCCAGCAAGATTCATCTTAATAAAGATGGACGGCAGTTGGCAAGGACTGCATAAGATCTAGCATAGAAGGTGCAAGGACGCAAGGAGGAGGGAATCAACAGAGTCTATCGGGCCTGCCCGCGGTCTCGGCCCTGTGCAGGACTGATCCTTTACGCCCGCGAAAGTAGCCTTGTCCGGGTCTGGGCCATCAATGACATCGAACCAGTCACCGTTTACCGATGTCACCTTAGGTATGACTTTTAAATTCTCGGTAGAAGTTTCAATCTTTACCATTGGCTGGAAAATCTCATGGAAATCATATCGACGCACAAGGCTTTCGAACCTCGGGCTCCATTTCCACCACCTCGGCGTGGATTTACCAACCGCTTATTATTAAGCTTGATGACACCAGCGATCTCTGATCTGATGCTCGTTTCATCAATGGCTTGGTGAATTGGGATGTGAGCACTTAAACCCCAATATTCCTTCGTTCCTCGTTGTAGTGTGAGACGGAACAACAGGCGATAGGCGAGAGAGGTAGGGCTTCTTTCCCACAGAGTCGCAGAGGGATGTAACATGGATGTTCCTAGGAGACCTCTAGCCTCCCCGATACTCCTTCGGGGCCGCTAACTGCAAAGGAACTCCTGCATCTTTTGGATGAAGAGACAAATTCCTTCTGATTGATCTTGATAGCCATAGACCATGGAGTGTAAGTTGCAAGTTCTTAGCCAAAAAAGGGCAACACAATTAAATCCCCTGATTAATAATTCCTTCGCGATAATTGGCCCAGCTTCCTAGGGATCCACCCCGAACATTTTCCATCCAGATCAAGGCCGAAGGCCCATCTCGAAGATCACAAAGGAGACGCCAGGGACCTCTCTCCCGTTTTCTTTTGAATTTGTATTTGTTTTCCTTCCCCGCAGATACAGCGGGCGAGTGATTGAGATCGTTAAAGCCAACTCGCTTCTCCACTTCCTTAAATCGTATACCTTACATGCGCGACTCACACCATCAGTCTTAACCCATCGTTTGGAGGTTGATGCTATATATTTTAGAGCACCTTCCCAGTATTGGGTCTATCGGGGCTTTCCTGTATCTTGAGATCGAGCATGGTCCGCCAATCTACATAAGATCTGGAGAAGCGCTTCTTTGCGGGTGGACCGGATCGTTGAAGTCCAGGATGCAACTGTTCCTCGTCATCCTAGGCAGGGCTTGGTGTTGTGTGTGTGCATTATTGGCAATGTCGAACTGGGAACGGTGGAGGCTTTCCCCGAGTCTTCGTACCCTTATCAGGACGGTGTGTGTCGTGAAGGGGAAGAAACGCTGCACTAGTCCGAGGGCGATTGTTGTCCTCCTTCTGGCATCGTCGCCCCATAAAACTGCAGGCCCAGAGTCATAGTGGATTGGAAGAGTGTCCAATACTGTCATCTTCCAGTGGCATGACTGTGAGCTGCTGTGCTGTAAGGGTCGTATCGCCATGCCTAGCGCGGCCTCGAGGCTGGGACCTCTCTGCGGGGGACCTTTTGGCGTATCCTCGTCCGTTCCAGAGTGGTCGACACTTGTTCGAGGAAATTCCGTCTCTGTGTGGCTATCTGATGTCTAGATTCGATTGATCTAGGGCTTTCTGAAATTTTGCTGGTTGCAGTTTCCGTTTGACCTCACTACATGTCCCTCAGCTCTTCTCTTGTCTCGGCCTTTTCGATTTGTTTTGCCCCGCTGTTCTAGCTCCGTCTCCATTCTTGCTGCTGTCTTTTCCAGTGTCTGGGCGGAGGGATGTGAGCGGAGTCGAGACGTCCCAAAGAACCTCACCAAATAGACAGCGACAGGCAGCATTCGAAAGGCATTTTAAAAGGCCGCGCATGTTGTAAAGTTGTCCATGGTGTCATTCAGGAATAGCTCAGAGAACAACCAATCTGTAGATCGTTCAAAGCACCCAGGACGAGGCTTTGAAACTCACATCCGGTTCAATTCACCGCAAGCTGGAGACGGAAAGCTGCTGAGAACTGGGATGACGGCCTTGTTGCTGCCTTAGGCGTTCAATATATTGAAATTTGGCTTCCGTCGTTGTATAAACGAGTAGTAGATTACGACGGCTCGATGGAAACCTGCTGAGAACCTCTCACATGTTTTAATTCAATTTTAGAATTCCAACACCAGAGTCTTGGACCATCGTCGTGACCTTTGACTAGATGGTTTCGCGAGGGCGCCCACCTCCGACCCCCTCGTGCGACAAGATCTTAGAACTGCGAGACAGATTGGATTCTTGGGCGAATGTGTCGCGAGACAGGATTCCTTCGATTCGCAGAAGATATGTGGGGCGCAGTGTACCTAAATTATGCTCACGGAACATCAGGCGCATTAAACCCCCAAGAGAACGTGGAAGACAGGTAGCAAGTCGAGTCTGACGGGCCTGCCAAAGCCTCCTCGAACTCGTTATCGACTTTCCGCGGAGAGCCAACTCGCTGAGGAGATAAGATGCAGACTCTGGTGTGCCCATACTAGCCACCGCAGCATCAACGTGGTGGCATCGCCGATGTATCTGTGGCATTTCTGATTGCGACGCGAACGCTAGTACGAAAGCAATCAGTGGACCAATCGTGATCGGCAGCGCATATATTCCGGATGCCGACAAGAAGCCCGAAGGTCGCATCGCAGATAGAGCTCTCGAGCAGAGCCATACTCTCCTCTTCTATTTGGATTTTTGGCAGCTTCTTGTTTGCCTTCGCCGCAAACATGCGACCCGAGGTCGCCGGAATGCGTCGAGGCCAAGGGCAAGGGATGAGCCGCGCGGTTGAAGCGAGGTTGTTCGGCAAAACCCATTGTCTATCCAGCCATGAAGTCGAAAACAAACGGTGCGTCCTTCTCGACATGCCTCTTCCGAGAGAACCCCCCAAAAAGGAGGTTGAGCTAGTTATATCCCAAGCTAACGATGTCGGGGCATTCTTTTGTTGGGTACTAGACCCGCCAACGCTTTCATTCTCGGGACGGCCGCACAATCAGTGCATCGCGATAAAGTACTTTTTTTTTTTTTTTTTTTTTTTTTTTTTTTTTTTGGTTTGAACGAAATACTTCCATCTAGAAAGGAATTACATCGATGTTCCCTTTTGAACTGTGTCAAGAGTTCAAGAGTAGTAAATTGTGGGCAGAGGCGCAATGTCAGAGGGGTTGGTAGAGCATAATTAGGTTTTCGTGTGACCAGTGTCGTGGTTTGGGGGGGGGTACAAGTCTCCATCATTTTCCCCTCCCCAACCTCCAGCATTCCAATTTGAGATTGCATCTCAACTGACCTATGACCCTGAGGTCACCATGTTTTTGCAGGGTTTACGTATTTCCATAGGTCGGTTGAACTGCGGAAACATCAACCGACCTATGGGTCACTGGGCCACTGGTCAGGTGAGTCACATGGGAACCAAAACCCACAAAAAGCCAGAATTTGGGGGGCGCACGGACCGTAACGGGAGTATGCTCCCGTTGCGGTCCGTGCGGCCCCCACCCAGCATACGCTACGAAGTACTTCGTAGATCGATGATATTCGTCAAAACGACATTTTTAGTAGAGATAGCCAATGGTCGAATTGAAACAGGGCTGCTGCGGGCCTTTATAATCTGGGATCAATTAGGAATAAACAAACCCGGGTTTTGAAACCTGGCAGCTGTAGCGGTCGAAGTCCTATCCCATCAACGCCAACCTTGTAGGCCTCATATACTGGTGTCTTTTTATAATTGATCGACACAGTGGGCCTGGATTGATTCCGGATTGAATTGGAAGTGATTAAAAATAAGATAAAACATGTTTGTGTATAGGATTGATTTATGATCGAGTACAGGTTTCCGCTCGTTTATTGAATCCCAGCTTGAGCTGTAAGTGATCTCGGGGCAGGCAATGTTCTTGCACTGATCAGTGAAATCTAGACAATCTTCTACATCTCAAACAGATGTCCGTCCGCCATCTTCTTCTCCTCACCATACTCCTAGCCACCTAGATTGCCAGGATTTCAGTGTCTGGCAGATTAAGGAAACCTCCTTCTCGACATGAATAGAGCGCAGACAGTCTGCAATGCCCCAGCTACCACCACAAGCACCCACTCCTTCCCAATGGTATTGACAATCACGTCGAGACATTTTCCCTTCAGCTCCGGGCTCAGCTCCTGAATTAGATGGCTCCTAGATCCAGCAATCGCTCCCTGGATCTCCGCATCCGAATAACCCATGCCACCCAAGACACTCTTCATCCCCTTGAATGCCTCGCTTTGAAAAATTGCACTTGCTATCACGAGCCCTAGGAGCTGACTCTGTCCCTGAGAAATATTCATGAACTGTATGGCTTCAGAGATTTTGTCTGTCGCGACAAGGCGTGTCCCTACGTCGTAACCGGCTTGGCATACGGTAACGCCCAAAGCCACAAGAACAGAGAATCCGTAGATGTGGGCATCGGGTGTGGTAGCCTTGACGGTATGCATGGCGGCCCCGCCAGCTGTCAGAAGTATTCCAGACACCAGATACCAGGCAATATGGTAGCCCGTTCTAGGTAGGGCATATCCGCAGGCGAGGATAGCGACAACAAAAATGCAAACGAATGGCATTAGCCTGATAGCAGCATTCGTGCCGCTCTCGCCATGGACAAAGAGGTAGTAGGATGGAATGTAGTAGATTCCCACAAAAAGGGAGGCGCCGGAACAGGACATGCCAACGTATAACAGGATGAGCTGGGGGTTCCGAAGAAGCTCGCATGGGAACAGCCTGTCGACCTTATTTGTAAAGACGGCAAAGTGTTGCGTTGTGATAAATGTTGCCGCCAGCACAAAAAATAAGACCAAGAGGACAATGAACCGAGGGTCGTTCCATTCCCAGATGGCGCCACCAAAGGTAAAAGCAAGAACGAAACAGACGTACATTGCGGCGGTCAAGGCTATACCTAGCCAGTCGAGGTTTCGTAATTTTTCCGTGGTCATCCTTTCGGGTTGTCTTGGGAGCGAGGGCAAAACGAAAAGGTAGATCGGACTCATGACACCGAAGACGACAAGGTTGAGGTAGAATGCCCATCGCCACGTTGCAGCGCTATCAGCTAGGGAGCCCCCGACTATGGGGCCAAGGATGCAGCCGCCGCCGTACACGAAGCCAGTAACGCCGACATAAAAGGCAGACTCGGTGGGGGACGTAGTGGTAGAGATCAGGTTGAGCGTTCTAGTTTGGGGTGGTTAGTTTGTTCCCCTGCCAGCCAGGCATAACGATAAAGAACCTACCCCAGGTACATTCCAGCCCCACCTACGCCGGCCCATACTCTCCCAACAATCATGGCGTCCATGGTTGGGGCTGCTCCGCAAAGGGCGCTCCCGGCGGCAAACATGGTAAGACTACCGATGAACAACCACTTCGTGTCGAACAGAGTGTACGCCTTTCCTAGCGGCAAGATTCCACAGACGGAGCCAAGGGTGAAGCCCACGCCGAGCCAGCCCAGCTGAGTGACATTGTTAAAGGAGTCTGATATGGCGGCTTGGATATCGGCAGCGATGGTGGTGTCGAGACCGTAGAGGAGGTTGGCAGAGAAGATGCCGACACAGACGAGGAACCATTTGTAGCCTGTGATGGTCCGCTTTCTGGGAAGCTCCTCTAAGCTAGTTCCATGTCTGGAAGAGTCGTTGCCAGATTCGATAGTATTTTGAGATCGGTTGGGGTGTTTTTCAAAATCCAATTGGCTTGTAGTGTTGGGGATATGCTCTGTACTCGACATGGTGGGCGGTTGTTATGCCAGGAAAGCAGGAAGGCTCTGTGTGGGTTTGACCTTTGATACAATATGCTCCCAAGTCCCGACACTTTATAAGTTTTTGAATAGATACCCGCCGCCATCGCGATTATAAATTCGTTGTCCAAGCCGAAAGGTATAAGCATTCTCTCTGCTTATCAACCGGAAGCTTGGATTAATTTCAGGACTCACGATGGGATTTCCTGATTTGGTTAGACCGTCTCCTTCCCATCGATTTGCCAATCACAGTCTCTGGAATATTCGGAGGTCGAGAGTCTCGCCAATGAGGAAGACCGGAATCCACGGAGTTTGTGGACGTCATTCCGCATCTCCTTTCCGCAAACCCCGTAATTCTTCCTCTACGATTCTGTTCGAAAATCACTGATCCTTACGGAGTAGGCGGTACATTTCGGACTCGATTCCAGACCACCAACAGTCGTTTCGTTTCCTCCTCTTCTTTCCCCATTCCCCATGGAAGGTAGACACTATCCACTTTCTCTTCAGCCCAGCGCTCCTCGGGAGACAACAATTCCTCTTACCAAACCGCCCCGAAAGCAGGTATCTCGGGCTTGCGAGGGATGTCGAGTGCGGCGCGTTAGATGTGATAATTCCAGTCCCTGTCGCCATTGTCGATCGCGAGGGATCGATTGCACGAAGAGAAGAACGGACGAGGTCCGCACACTACCTCAAGCTCTCAGGTACGTGAAAAAAAAAAAAAAAAAAAAAAAAAAAACCTTGCACCTTGCAGTCATCCTCCATTGCAGGGAAGTATATCCCACTGATTGATTGTGTAGCGAGATTGAGCGACTTAGAAGTCAGGTCGCTGACCTCCATGCCCAACTGCGTCGTGGCCAAGAGGACACGCGTCTGTCCTCCGGCCCTGGAACGCCGGGAGCTTTTCCCACGCCTGAGAACTCAGCCGTTGGCCCCGAGACATTGAGGTCCGACGCAGCCTGTAAGCTAAGCGCTGGATCGTCCGGCAATGTCCCACCATGGGAGGGAATCCATGTTGCTACGGCTCGATCGGAGCAGACGTCATATTATGGCCCAGCCTCAACAGTTTACTTTCTCAGTCGCATCGGATCCTACCTCGCCTCAGCCCTCCACGAGCCGATAGTGAATCGGAGTATGCAGTTGCAAGGCGCAAGCACAGCCTTTTCGAGTCTCGCAACCTCTACCCAAGATCCCCAAGACGTCAGTCCCACTCGAGCTGCTGGCCATAGACCAGAACAACCCAAATGCAAGCCGTTCTTTCTCCCAAGAGCCCAGGAAGAATATTTCATCGGCTTTTTCTGGGAGACGTACCATTGCCTACTACCTATGATCGACGAGGAAGAATTTCGGCGGCATTATGTCTCTCTCTGGGCAGACGCCTCCGGGATTGCAAGAAAGCCCTCGCCCTTGGTCGACATCATCCTTGCCCTGTGTATGCAGTACGGCCTCGCATTTCTTCCTCGGGGAGGTACCGCAAAGTCGATCGTCGACACGGCTGGCCCTTTTAGAGACCCGCAGATTGCGGGGAAATGGTACTATAGACGTTGCCAGTCCCTCCTAGCACTAGAGATCGAGAGTCCGAGCCTTACTGTGGTTCAATGTCACGTTTTGTCCGCTGTGTATCTCTGTTGCGCGTCCTTCCAGAACACAGCGCACAGTACACTAGCTCTGGCGGTGCGAGCCGCTCAAATTCTCGGTCTCCATATTGATCCGCCGGCAGATGTGTCTGACAGCGAAAAAGAACTGCGTCGGCGCGTCTGGTGGTGCCTCTATACTATCGAGACGAAGATGTCGATCAAGGTGGGCCGGCCCTTTGTAGGGTTGGATTGGGGCGCCTCAGTAGCGCCTCCGTCGGATAGCCCCGAAGCGGCATCGCTGCTTGGAGGGAACCTCGGAACTTACGGATCCGACGTCAGCTGGCTCACATATTCGGTTCAGTTTCAGAGGCTCATTCTCGCATCCCGCGACGTTTACTGCGCGCTTCACAGCGAGATTTCCGCAGTCCTCTGGAAGAAGGGTGCCAAAACGCCTTATGCAGACCCCCAAGCGATGGAATATTGTGCCGAGTTCCTTTCGTCTCGAAAGGGCCCGCTGCTAGACTGTATCGCCCAAGTCCCTAAAGGTCTTACAATTCCTCGGAGTAACGACTCCAGCGCACCGTTTTCCACCGATCGAACGGCTGTGAGACTTAACACAGACGCGCCGCTGTGGCTTCAGAGGCAGCAAATATCCCTCGAGTTGTCGTACCATATTATGTGCATGAACCTTTATCGGCTCTTCATTATCTTCTCCTCGCACACCTCGAATCATGGAGTGACCTACAGCCCCATAGTTGAAAAGCACGCGACAACGGCTGTGAGACACGCCATGATCCATACGCAAATCATGTACCAAGTCCTAAGCGAGACGGACATTCTAAATGGGTGGTTGGAGGGTTTTCAGTGGCAATGGAATGCCACTGTGACCATTCTAGGATTCATCGTAGCCTATCCAGTAGGCCCGTCAACGCCACCGGCCAGAAAATCTATCGAGAAAGTGACTGAGATTTTTGAGATGTTCAAGGAGAACTTCGCTGTCGCTACTAGCGCGGCAATGTTGACGAGGAATCTAGTTGAAAAGGCCGATATTCTAACTGATCGGTTCCGGGAGGGACTGATGGGCTCTCCTTCCTCTATGCCTGTATTCAGCCCGGCAGGGGACACAACGAAGTCGAACTCTGTCAGTACGGTATCAGGTAATAGTGTTGGGGGAGGGATGGAACCTAGCCTGACAACTGCTGAGGATATTCTTGGGTCTGGATTTTACTCTGATTTCATCGACTCTGCCCTCTCGGTGGATGCTTTTAGCAGCTTCGAGGAGTTTTACGGCGATGGGTTTAATTTATCATCATCTATAGATCTGACTACATTGCCTAATCACTATAGATAGCCCAATCTCAACATTATCTCATCCAGAAAAGAGCAGACGGAACTTATCCCAGGCTCATCTACTTGTATGCATTCGTAGGGATCCTCTCTACTACTACAATCTCCACCTTTAACATAGGCTCACTATCAAGCCCATTCTTCTTAATAAATAACTTTCATATAATATAGATCTAGAGTACCTAAACTAATAGCCATCAATATTTGCAGGAATCAACTTCTGGTAGTATATCAAATAGGAGCTTCCAGCTAGGAAATACACGAAGGTTCACCGACGAACATTAATTATCAACTCAGAGGCCAACTCGCTCAACAGAAAAGGCTACAAACTAGGACACAAACCAAGCAGTTTTCCTCTTCAAGCATAGACGCGAATGACTGTCCCTGCGCAGAACTTCATCTTACCCAAGCACCTCTCTGACCAGCCTTGACTCGAATGCCAAGTCAATCGATGTGTAGAGGTGGCACAGTTGAAACAAGGTTCCTCGAGGCTGATGGTCTGACACGCAGCCGGATTCAAAAGAGACAGGCCCAGTGCCGTCAAGTAATGAAAGTCCGACCTGGCATCCGTGTCGGAGTCAGTCGCTGTGAACCCTAGCAAGGCGCAAGAGAAAATGCTTGGTCGAGAGGAGGGCTCGCTGGTCTCTCGCCTTTTCAATCTTAGCATAGTCCCGTAGGGTCACATTTCTGAAAGTGAGCCTTTCGGCTTGGGGCGCATGGTCGTCATGAGGGTTGTTTGCAACGACCATTCGGATACGAAGAATCGCACCGGTGGTTAATCCACGCACCGCTCGTATGTTAGGCCACATCAACTTTTGCTTGTTGACATTAGATTGGCGAGTTGGACTGTATCCAGTAGACTCAGCTGCGGAGCACGGTCGGAGACAAAAGGGAATTCTCTATCATGCGATCGCACGCGCGCCTCCACATTCTACAAATATTTCAGGTCTACATCCCGTCCCTCGCAACCTCGAAAGGTACATTTACCGAGACCAAGAACATATTAAATAATGAAGCAAGGAGCCATTGTTCTATTAACTGATTAGGAAGGTAATACGGAAGTTATTGTTTCCTTTTATCTTTTACCAGCTCGTTTCCCGTTAAACATCCTGGTAGAAACCCGTCCCTTCCCCCTGGAGTACTCTTATACACTCAAGGATCAGGTCATCTTTTGAGCTACAAGGGTAGCAAGCTCAGCTACTGATTCCATTGATCATCATCTGGCCAAGGATAAGTGCATACGGCTCATTGACAGGGTTTTACTTGAAGTATAGGTTACTTCGACTCCCATCCGGCTCGGCGGCGACAGAATAGGATTCTCTTATGATTATCTTACTACTTTATTGGTGTCGCAGACCGACATTCATGCAGGCCTAGGACAACTCATGTTTCTACATGGGTGGGATACTCAGCTTCCTACCCTAGTACTAATACTGCCTAGTCTACTCGAAGCACTTGGTTCTTCATGTAACACGCATAGAATTTCCCGCACCCTGGTTCTCTTTTACGAGGTGACAAGCAAAAGGGCAAGATATAAGATGCAGTAGTTCTCTTTTTTTTTTTTTTTCATCTTTCTTTCCTTCCTCATCTAATCTCAGAGTCTCTTCTATTATACGAGCCAATTGCATATCTAACCCAACACTAACAATGCGCCTCTTGTCAGTCCTTACACTTTTCTTTGCTGCGACTGCTGTCGCTGCACCCTTGTCGCCCACTGAGTCTGCAATTCTTCCCCGCCAGAATCTGTAGGTCTTTCACCCTCCTTTGAGTCATTTATTCTGACTGGTATACAAAAGTAATTGGTCGGGATTATATTCGAAGATCGCCCAGATTCAAGATGCGGATAAGCGATTTAAGTATACTCTCCAAGCACTCACAGTACAGAATATGAGTGTCAACTCTGAGATAGAGAGGGTTCAGGCATTTCTTAAGTTGAGCATTGAGGTAGCCTATGCATGTCGATGTTGATAGATTAGTATCTCAGCTTGGGGTGAGCAAATCTTTTTTCTTTCTCCTGCTTTTAGTCCTGTAGTTGGTCTACTACTATATCAGGGCACAGAGCAAAAGTCCCAGGTTGCTACAATCAGAACTAACACAAAGCCACAAGGAAGGCACTGCAGCTAGATCCCAACTTCACTTATATATATATAAGAAGGGGATAGTTCTCTTGCTCTAGAAAGAATTCCAAAGGGGGGAGGATTCTTCTTCTTGTGCGGAGGGACGCCGGGACGCCTAGGTGTCTGTAGTGACCAGGTGCTCCCCTTCTTTGCTTAGTATTATTTTAGTACTGGATATTATCTTACTCTTCTCTATATATCACACTTACTTATTTCTACTGCTCACAAGTTCTCCTTGCCTGTGAAGTCCTGTAATTCAGATTCATACTCATCATTGATTCTGTGACTGTCTACGAAGACTGTTTTGACTGTTGGACCATGATTCAAAGATCAAAGGTCGAGCCATTCCGGCAGTCTGTGCCCCTGTTCCCCTACATCTTTGGGGTGTTTTGCTCGGCTCCAACAAACTATTGATTCCATTGACGTTGATCATTTTGTTGCTGATGTTGATGTTTTTTTCTTTTTTACGTCTTTCTCCTTCATTTCTTTCTTGCTGTTTCTCCTCTTATTTTATGCCACAGCTGCTACACATCATGTGGCTAATGACTTTGAATCCGCCATTCGCCTCTCCTCCTCTCAGCTAGCTCTCGGTGCTGTTTCTCTCCCACAAACATCTCGATGACCGATTCCTCAACAAGGCAATCGTTCAATCTCTAGGCCTTTAGACCGACCTAGGTTAGGGGCACCAACAGCCACGACATTATTATGATTTGGCGCCAAGTGCTGCGCCGCATCTCACACGTGCTCATTCAAGTCGAGCAATTCCCGCCTTTGGGGCTCAAAGGAGAGGAAGCAGGGCGGCAACCAGCTGAAGTGCTCAAAGTTGATGACGTAGATGTCATTCGCATAGACACTGCCAGGCGGGATGAGGGAGTTTAGGGCTTAGTCGCAGTAGCATATTAGAGAGAGGCCCTCGGATATGAAATCTTCAATAAAGCCGGAATTTACCTGCGCAGGGTGGGTTAGCAGGCATGGGTAATGCACGAACATCCCCGCATTATACTATGGTACCTCAGTCGAAGTTGTGGGATCGAGGTATTATTACGAAGTACAGAGATCCGAAGTCATGCAAAGTCAGCCGTGGTTACTTTGGAATCATAGGGCGAAGTGCGGAGCAAGTACTCCGTGGTGGACGAAAGGGAGCTTGTCTGGACAGGGGTGTAACGCATCTGGCTGCTGCCAGGCGACGTTTTGGGCCTAGATTTAAGCGAGCACTACCTCGTATTAAACTATGGTATACAAACCACTTTGTCCTTTGTACCTCGGTACTTTGGATGGACCTGCATTGGGACCGGTCCTCTTCCTCCTGCTGCTCTCAATTGATGAGCAAGACATCAGTCTGACTGTGCTGCTTCGTAAGACATCGTGGTAATGATGAAAACTTCCCATACTTGCTCACTCTTTCGTTGAATGTGAAATAAACTCACCGGAACTAGAATTGCAACCGGGAGTTAAATATCTCTGATTTAATAACAAGAGTTGAAACGGAACAAGAAGACGACAGCCTTCAAGCGTGCCTGACAAAGAAATACTTGATTAGGCCAGTGGGTAAGGTCCTGGAAAACCTTGTTCTATCTCTTAAGAACCAGGGAATCAATTGCAGTAACTTCGACATCTTTAAGATATCTCTCGAGGACTGGGTTTGTGAATGGTAAGACAGAGTTTGGACAGTGGCCCGGATCTAGCATGCGACTATAGTTTTCACTGGCTACGGAAAGTCCTGAGAGATGGTTGGAGAGATTGATACCTGTAGATATATGGAGGCAGTCAACCATGAAAATGGACGACAGTAATTGTATCACCGGGTAGTTTTAAGGAGTCTGCAGTCTGGAGAATACGGTAGAAGACATGGCTGTCGATGAGGTCTGCAATGTCCCACTCCAGATTTGGAGATAACGCTATTTCCTCTAGTATAGAAACACTAATCCTGCTAAATGCGGCAATGGAATCGTAATAGAGTATATCTAGTTCTAGTTCTATGACTGCGATGGTAAGAGACTGCTTGGAAAGATCGACCTGCCTAAGTAGAACGAGGTGGACAATGTAGGCCATAATGCAGCGCTCGACAGAAGCGTCTAGTTCCTCGGCAAGCGTAGCGTAGAAACTCTTTAGCGCTAGATCGTCCCTCGCAGTGACTGGGATTTCATTGTATATAGATGGGCACACTTCCTCTATATAATTTGGGAGTAGCTTGAATAGAGCCCTCTCCAGCATAAGATCGTCAGGGATGGAGGAGTCTCTCCAGTGATCCGCAGATGGCGAGAGCGCTGGGGAGTAGACCTGTAGGTACGAAATGTCAGTGGAACGGGCCCCAGGATGTCTGATAGGTTTAAGGGGGGTGATACCTTTGAACTCACGAATTCCAAGTTGTTAAGAAAAGCCACGCTATACCTGCGCACACTCAGCTTGTACACAATATCGAGATAATAGACTTTTAGAGCTGGGTTCGCCGCCAAACCATGTGCGGCTGTCAAGACACATGAAGAAGTGAAGGGCATAATCTTTTAGATATTGCTCAAACTCTGTACATTCCATGGTTGCGAAGCGGGAGCATATTTTACTCTCACCTGATGTGTCATCATGATGCGTGAGATGCTTGATGGGAATCGCGCACGTGAGCAGGTATGATTCTAGCGTATTCGTGGCGTCGGGGACGCAGAGGTCTTCGTGGGCGGCGAACCAAACGATGTGGAATCTGCAGCCGCGTCTTCGGAGATTCGTAAGAAAGGTTTCGGTGGCGTGGACCGCGTGGACCGCGTGGAGGAGGTGGAATCCATCTGCCGACGCCATCAAAGTCAGTACAATTCTTGGATGAGTGCGCGTGTGGAGTAGGCGAATATGCTACGTACGATGATAGACAACCTTTGCGTTGGAAATGCAGTTAAGAAGCATGGAATCTCCATGGATCGAGAACAGCTCTTTTCCGGCAAAGTCGCTGACGAGATCCACTTTTAGAGGGCGCCGTGATTTATACCAGGTCACTAGGCCTTCTCTTGGGCGCCATTTCTACATCCTGGAGAAACCTGTGATGAAGGTCTCGAGATGGCGGGGTCGTTAAAAGTTGAAGAAGCAGCAAAAGAGCAGAGAAGAGATGGGAGATAACAGAGAGAAAAGGCCATGTTTGTGAGTAGGATGGGTAGGAAACTTGCATATTGGGCGTCACCTTAACTTTTTGTGTTTCCCCGTTGCCATCTCGACCTCTACCAACGAGTGTTCTTCATCGGGTTGTTTGGTTCCCGCCCCAAACGGATGGAATCTACTGTGCTTGTTGGTCGTACTGCATTTGTACCTCGGTACGAAGTACTGAGTGCCTAATTTCAAAAGACAACTTTGGTAGTTCTATTCTTTACCTGCTTCTCATTTTATATACAGCGACGCAGTGACGCCTCACCCAATCCTTCGCTCGCATGCTTGCTCGCTACATTTTTATGCGCTCACCGCGATTCGGTTTTCGAAAAAAAGGTTCAGCACAGACCTAATCTAGATTCATATGGTCCATAGGGTACTCTACATTACATGACGCATGCAGCTGGAGAAACCTCGAGGTGATTGATGCACTGCTTTCCTACGGCGCCGGTGTGAATTGCTGCAGGTTTGACTGGCAGACTCCACGCGACGTTTTCCTCCAACGCAAGCAGCTTATGGCCGCAGGGGGTGGACTTGCTTCTTGAACAGCGTCAGGCGGCTTCAGAGGTCAATGGATCTACAGAAAATTACTTGGAGTGAACGGCTAGTCCGATTTATGTGTGCGCTCAGGAGGCTCGGGATTTTTCGACAATTGCCCCGTCCATATCAGATTATCGGTGGACACTCCGCGACTAACGTCACCTAATTATCCCTAGGCTCCATTTGATCACACCATCTTTGATATCGGATATGCCAACGAGTCAGACGATGCAGAACGGAAAGGAAAAACAATAACTGATCCATTAACTCTTTTACTCCGAGGTTGCGCCCACCGAGGACAAGATTTCCACTACACCATGATGGTTATTCTTAGCCGCCCATGACAGCGCAGTGGTCCCATTCTCACAACGTAAGTCTACCCTGGCTCCACCTGTGAGCAGAATTCTGACCACAGCTTCATGTCCATTTCCCGCCGCCCACAATAGTGGCGCCTGTCCATGCCTATCTGTAGAATTTGGGTCGGCACCATTCTCAAGAAGGACCTTAACAGTTCTTTGGTGACCATGGGCTGCTGCCCACGATAGGGATGACTGTCCGCTCCAATCGCTGGAATTTGGGTCAGCCCCTTTTTCCAGAAGAATTCCGACAGTATGTTCAAACCCAGAACTTGCAGCCCATATTAGAGGTGTTTGCCCATTCTTATCCTGACGATGCGGGTCAGCACCATGCTCCAAAAGGAGTTTGACAGCGCTGCTGTTCCCACGTCTTGCTGCCCACGACAGTGACGTCTGTCCACTTTTATCTGCCATACCTATCTTCGCATTGTGTTTCAGCAGTAATTTAATAACTGCTTTGTGGCCATTCCCAGCTGCCCATATCAAGGGGGTTTTACCAATCCGGTCTCGTGAATCTACACTCGCCTCTCCTCCAAGCAGGAGTCCAACAATCTGATCATACCCATTCCCTGCTGCCCATGATAATGGGGTTTTTCCATTATAATCTCGGGAGTCACAATTAGCTCCTTCCCGTAAAAGGGCTCTGGCAATCCTAAAATGCCCATTTCCCGCAGCCCAGGATAGTGGTGTTTTTCCATTGTTATCATGAGAGTCTGTCTTCGCTCCTTTTGCTAGGAGAGCCAAGAGAATCCTCTCATGTCCGTTCCCAGCAGCCCATGAAAGTGGTGTTTGCCCACTTTCGTCCTGAGAGTCTGGCTTAGCCCCATATTCTAGGAGGACTTCAACAACCTCTTCATGGCCATTCCCTGATGCCCACGATAGTGGTGTCTTGTTACTAATATCCCCGATATCTGCCTTCGCCCCATGTTTCAGTAGGATTCGGACAATATTCCCATGTCCACGTCCTGCGGCCCATGATAGTGGTGTCTTTCCGCTTTTGTCCTCTGGATCTGCTACAGCTCCGTTGCATAGCAGCATCTCCACAATTCCTTGATATCCAGTCCCTGCTGCCAGTAATAATGGTGTCTTCCTATCTTTATCTCGAGGATCTGATCTTACTCCACGATCTAGGAGGATCTTCACAATGTCGCCATGCCCGTTTTGTGCTGCCCAGGATAATGGTGTTTTCGAATCTTTGTCCTCAGAATCGGCTTCTGCTCCCCTGTCTAAGAGAGCCAAGAGAATATTCTTATATCCCTTTCCAGCAGCCCACGTGACAGGTGTTTGCCAGTTTTTATCTCGGGGATCCGGATTAGCCTCATTCTCCAGAAGGATTTGGACAATATTCTCATGCCCATTTCCAGCCGCCCATGATAGCGGGGTCTTTCCGTCGTTGTCAGCGGCATTTACCTCCGCCTTGTTCTCCAAGAGTAATTTCGTAATGCCTTCATGTCCATTACAGGCAGCCCAGGATAGTGGTGTCCTCCCACTCTTGTTTTCTTGGTTTCCATCAGCCCCATGATCTAGTAGTATCTGGACAGTGTCTTCATGCCCATTCCCTGCTGCCCACAGTAAGGCTGTCTGCCCATCTTGGTCTGGGGTGTCCACTATAGCTCCGCTTGCTAGGAGTGACCTCACCACCGTAAAACGTCCATTTCCTGCTGCCCATAACAGCGGTGTTTTCCCGCTGGTATCGACGTTATTGGCGTTCGCTCCACAGTTCAAGAGCCTGTTGACAACTTCTCCATGTCCACTTCCCGCTGCCCACGACAGTGGCGTTTGCCCATCTGTATCTCGCGGGTTTACATTGATATTAGCATCATGGAGGAGCATGCGCACAGTCATTTCATGTCCATTTCCAGCTGCCCATGAAAGCGGTGTCTTCCCATCCTTATTCGGTATATCTGCCATAGCTCCCTGACCTAGAAGAAGCTCAACAACCTCTTCATCTCCGATTCTTGCTGCCCCGGATAATGGCGTGTTTCCGTTGTTGTCCTGTGAGTTGACGTTGGCTCCGCTTTTGAGAAGTACCCGAACCACCGAGCCATGCCCCGCCCCCGACGCAGCTAAAAGGGGAGTCGTACCCCTCGACTTAGTATTTGGGTCAAAGCCTCTAGCGAGAAGAAATTCTACGGTTTGTAGATGACCAAATCTAGCCGCAAGGCATATCCCAGCATGCCCCTCGTCGCTAAGACCCCTTGGGTCGAGATCCTCAGTGCCCAGTATTTGTAGATCATTGAGGAGTGGAAGGATGCCGAAACAGCATCCAACAAACAATGGAGATATTGGGGTGCAGGCAACATTCAGAAACATATACCTGTTTGGACCATCCAGTGTTCTGGATAACTTGCGAGCTTCATCAACCCACTTCTGGAACGTTGGTGCCATGGAGGAACCAATCCGGAAAAACGGCAGAATCCAGTCCCGGATATCCACATCCCCTAGATAACCATCTACCGACCTTAAATGGACGGGCCAAAATTGAGTGGCATAATTCAATAGTATCGGGTTTTCCACAGCCGGTACTGGTGATGTGTGCGGCTCATAGACGTGGAAGCACCTGCGAAGGATAACCAGATGATTATTGTGGTCGTTGAATCCTAGATCTCTTCTTTTCTGAAAATATTCTCTGACAGATGCGTGTATGAATCTTAAGATACTGTTCAGGTTTTGATCATAGGATGTATCTGCCTGATTCATTGCTTGCGAAAACTCCTGCTCCGTATCGGGCTCGTCAAGCATGATTAGGTTGCAACAGAAGTCGAGTAGCTGGCTGGGGGATAATTTGTGGTGCTCTTCTTCAATGCTATCCGAAACGGCAGCAACTAGTTCCCGCGCTTGGAGTGGACGTTGTGCGCAAAGGAGCCACCGTATGCACTTATCAGCTGTCTCTTTGCTGAAAGGGCCGGAGGAAGAGATATCTTGATAGATTCTCTCATATGATGCTTCCAAGGACTCAGGGAGCATGTCTAATTGCTCAAAAATGTCCCTTTCGTGCTTAGTACGCCTAGGGTGGCAGATGATTTGAATCTGCAAGCTAACCCACAGAAACCTAAAAGTTCTCTTAGCCTTTTGGACTCGCGTAGGGGAGGAATAACTGACATTCTTTCTGCTTTCTCAGATAGCCTGAAGATTATTTCGCTCCTGAGCCTCTCCGAGACATTCCCATGAAGTAGTTTGCGTCTCTGAATGGCTTCGGAGACTTTAAGATTAATGAAGCGCCTGATCTCTCCAAGGTTACTGTTGGCGGAAATTGAGGGTCCGCGACCACTTCGCCAGACCACAATATCTCCATCTTCTCGACTGGATACTAGTATTTTTAAGGGGTTAGTTGACTGCTCTTCCAAGATTTCTAAAAATCTGAAAAGTTGATCCCGCTCCTCCGGATCACACTCATCAAGTGCGTCGATGAGCAAAACAGTTTGGGGTCTTCCCTTGGCTGTCCTGAGTAAAAGGCTTCTGCAATCCTCGATCGTCAACTGTACTGGATCACCGTCTTCTTCTCGCAACTCCTCCTTCCTTCTTCGAAACTCGTCTAGAAGTGACTTCTTGAGTATGCCATCTTTATAACATAGTTGCTTCAGCAAGGTCCGGGCGACACATGCAGGGTCTGCGCGATCAGGCTCTGCAGGATCTCTTGAGCAATAGAAATAGCCACAGAGGTAGGGAAGAGAGGTCTGCGGAATATTTGAGGCTCCGGGTTCGGGTACAATTTTGAATGACGTAATTACAGAGTGCCTAGCGGACTTCATTAGCTTCAGAACCGGAGCTGTATACCGAGGTACTCGAGATGAAAACGGCATTGGATACATGAGACTAGTTTTCCCCGAGCCGGCTTTACCTATGTCAGATTCGTATGTTTATATCGTATTCATGGCCAGTATTGCTTACGAATGCCATTCAACCAGAGTATGGATGATTGTGTTGAATTTCTCCACTGAAGGAAGATATCATGACCTTGCAGCCATTCTCCCGAGTTCTTCATCAGGCCTTTTCCAGCCCTGTCGTGATGCTCCCGGTAAGGAACTACGGATAGCCAGTTCCCAAACTCTTTGTGCTCAGGCGCTTAAGTGCATGTCAGTTATATGCGATCTACCCAGCCTCGATAATCGAACCTCTGTCTATGCTGTAGTAGTTGTATTCGTTCTGAACGCTAAGGTCTATTGTAATGCTTCAGTGTATGCTTAAAGACTCTGCATGGAAATACTAACTGCCGGGCCCGGTAATATCACCGTAGACAACGATTCCGTAGTTCGTACTCACGGGTTGTGAAGTAGCGACATTGGAAGTCAGATCCTCTCGAGGCTGCATCGATGATGTAGACAGGCTTGAAAGATTTGCAAATGGCTGTCCTGTATGTTCCCGTTATCTTAACCGGTTGCTCTGGTTGGAAGTAGGTCTTAACATTAGGGAAGATATGTCGTGGTAAGAGTGCCGACGCAGGATGAGCTACTCAACGCATCACCCCCTCTTCTCCTCTTCTGTATAAGATTACGTAAACCAACAAGTACAAGACGGCATCACACAGGATGGGATAACCGTGGGCTGGGTTGCGCCATCTGCAGCAATACCCAACATCCGGCTGGATAATCAGCGAATAAGAGGTCTCTTGTCATCGCCGTGAAGCAGGTGGAGCGGCTGGTTATTGCGTTACCTCGTGTTCTAGGCCATATTCATGTGGCATATTTCACTTTATGCATTGATGCCCAACAGGCATTGGCCTGACAACACTGATAAGAACGAGTCGTCACTAATAACCGAACGATGGAGTCGCGGCCTACCCCATGAACAATCGCCGAGCCTCGATCTGAAACCACTTCTGTTGAACTCTTTGCACTCTAATATGGCAACGAACAATAATCCCATCCCCGACGATGGGCTGACCCTAGTATACGACGCTTGTGAAGACGCTCAAGTCGAGTCGGTAATTATCTGACTCCTGACCTTGAGTAAATGGCACTGATAGATTACTATCTAGTATTATCTTCGTTCATGGCCTTAGAGGCCATCCGCAAAAGACATGGGAAGCTGTCGATCCGAACGATCCAAGCGAGAAGATATTTTGGCCGGGAGACCTCTTGCCTAATACCGTGCCAGCATCTCGAATACTGTCATTTGGGTACCCAACTGAATTCGGAACCTTCTATCCGAAGACGGAAACCGCAGGTCTGGTAGTCCATGCCTCCATAGATGGCCACTCTACCTCCTTAATCAGGAAACTGGGTCTTAAACGGCGGGAGACACGCACTGTAAGTCTATGAGCTAGCCCTACTTTATGCCACTATTTCTACCTTTTCTTCTGTCTGAGTTGCTGATCCTTCCTGCGCTACTTCAGGAAGAACGGCCGATTTTCTTCATCGCACACTCACTTGGAGGCCTAGTGTGCGCCAACGGCCTTTCTCGCCGCTCCGGCCCAGATGACTCGAGTCAAAAGGTAATCGACAATACATGCGGCATGATCTTCCTCGGCACCCCTTTCCAGGGGTCTAGTGCTGTGACCTGGGCAAAACTGGGGGAGAAGTTCTTCCGGCTGTTTGGCGATAGCAGTGATCAAACAATCAAGGATCTCGACAAAGATTCCATCAAGCTAAAGGACATTAGCCGCGACTTCCATTTACTCCTTCGGGAGCGTTGCGAACCAAAAGCCTCAAAACCAATACAGGTGGCATGCTTCGTTGAAACGAAGTCGACGATAGTGAAGGGGCCGCTTGGGAAGAAGGACCTAGGCCGGATCGTGGAAGCAGAATCCGCAACGCTAGCCGGATATCGCCCAATTCCAATCAATGCTGATCATCGCAGCATGTGTAAATTCACGGATGAAGAGACGACTGGATATATTGACCTTACCGGAACACTGAAGAGCATGATCGCAAATGTGGATAAGGACACTGATCAATTTAAGGCGCAGCCGACAGGTATCAGTCTCGGAGATGTTCGCCATGGCGATTATGGCGTCAACTACGGGATAGTTTCTGGACATGTAGTGGGGACTACCCGGGATGCAGTTAATCAGACCGTTCAACACACCGTACGTATCCGTCCCGTTCACTTGTATAGGATCCTAACGCTCCATGATCAATAGTTCAATAATTTCGGTGAAGGCTCAGGTGCCGAGAAGGCAATTGCGGCGTTTGTAGAGAGGCAGAGAAGGAAGGACAATGACTAGGGCAACTCGGGTCATCGCCCTAACCGCCTTAGCAGTGTGGTCTTTTTCTACGAACCAAAAGGGATCAGTCCCTTGCTCGAACACAGGCGCGAATACGCCTTTCTCGCTTATAGGGAAGACGCTAAAAACAAAGGTCGACGTATCCAGACCGCTCATGCAGCCCAATTCTGGTTCCTCTTCGTTCAGTTGTACCTTCACGGAAAGTTATGCGAAGGAGAGCCGGAGTTCCTCGACCGGCTCATCACCACATCGCTCGGCCAGTATAAGGACTTCTCTTGTCCCCATATTTGTGTTTATCTATTTATCTTTATGTCAACAATACTACCCGAGATCTCGGGAGCAATGCTTTCTTGTTGGGAACTGCGGCCATTATTTCAACTGTGTCAGCGGCTCCTAGGTATTAGGCTGTGGATTCCTCTTCATAACCCAAGCCATGCGGCTTTATTTGTTCAAGAAGTTGTGCACGTTTTCACTTTCCTCCATCAAGCGCTCCTGTTCACCTGGCCTAAGGAGTCCCTTGTATTAGAGGGTAAATGGCCGCTAACATCAATACTGTTCGCTGTTTTGCTCAGCGCTATGTGCGAGGTTTCAGAAGGGCCTGAGCATAACCTGTAGCTTACTTTATACAATAATATAGTTACATCTGCCCTCCTTTTCCACAAGCCATTAAATAGAACTATCATGCTCCCCTGATCCCAAGTAGCATGCCATCTGCGTAAACACCAGCTCAGCAAATTTTCGAAGATTGATCACCCGACGCGCCCGGATGGCAGCTTGCCTTGGAGGGTCGAGTAGTACGCAGCCTGGCCTGGGTTTTCGAGCGAACTGCGCTCATTCTAACTGTATATATTCTGGGTTTCGACAAAACAAGGGATATGGCTCTTGTTAGCAAAGGGATGCAATATTTCTCTATATTAACGAGCAACAGGCGCGCTAGATGGCAGGATCCGGAAAGCAGATTAGTATAGACCACGTCGACGAGGCAAGGGGAATACGTTAATCGTCTCCGGAATCTCCATAATCTTCACTGAACATCATGGTCCAAATGCCGAATCAATACAGGGCCTAGACAATCCTCCCTTCTTCGGTGACGGTTGGGCGGTGGTCTAGCTGCAATTTCCCGAGGAATCCCGTAACTATCCTTATGGCTGCTGGGCGATCGATGTGGAGTGCCAGCACACCGCTGGGTATTGAATTCCACATCTAGGAAAGTCCGATATGCTGGGAGAGATCAACTACCGAGTTATTGACCTGTCTGTTGGCTATGGGCGGTGGTTGCTAGGTAAAAACCAAGGAGCATGACAGCGAGCCCGCAACCTTTATATAAGTTAGATAGAAAGGCCACGGTAGCCTGAGAGGACCGGCTTATAATATATAGAGCTATACGTTGTGCGAAAACTGGAAGGATCTCTTCCCAAGGATAGCGGCCGGGGATGTTGCGACAGGCGTGTGGTTACGGGCTAGGGCTGCGCAGCCGTCGGCTATTTCGTCACAGTTTGGACGGATACCCAGACATATTCTTCCTGTTGTGTCGTAAGGCACCTTCTTGGGACCAACCCTCTGTGTGTTCGTGATGGCAGCAAGGTGGAGAAGTCGCACATCTCCTCCCTTAATTCATGAAGGGCGGTTGATGAGAACTGCAGCTGCCCGCCCAGTCTAAAGCTCCAACCTCCTCGATCGCGGCGTCCTAAATCTACTATGCCTCAAACCCGCGAGGTAGCTTGGAGCTTTAGAATTGCAGCAGTTATATATACGATATGAACGATCTCGCCGACGTCGCTGAGTAGGCCTTTAAGGAAGCCGCCCTGCCTGTCTCCAGTGTATATCATTGGCTATATGGTCACCGCCCCGACTGCTCTCTAACAAACGGGGTCTGGTCCGTGTATTTTGTTTCTTCACAACTTTTTGCAACGGCACAAAGGCCACCTGGACATCTTGAAGTGAACCAGTGCCAGAAATGATCCCAGCAGATGCTAGTGGGATTTGGCAGACGGGCTGCCCCGTGAGATCTTAGCGGTGAAGGTTTCACTCATAGCCTGGCGATCTTTCTCGCCGTATGGCTTTTGGAAGCGTTGCCTGTCTTTCTTCGAAAGGATTCTAGCCTTCTTGACATCAATCGCGATGATTCTAGGGGCTGATGCGCGGCTCCTGCCGCCTGCCTCGTACTTGCTTGGATATTCAATGCAGAGTGCCGTGTGTGCTAGGCCGAACTCGCTGCACTGGGCCCAGAGGGTACGAAAATTCTGCCAGAATGTTGAGGACCCGATGGGGAAGGGCTTGCTAATGGCTTCGCAATGAGCCTTGGCCTGACCTGACAATAGCCTGAACCTCTGGTCGCACGTCAGAAAGGCCAAATTCCCGCACCACAGCCGCGTGCGGAACACTGCAGGCCTGGTTGTTGTCCTCGGCAGGCCAGAAGCCGTCCTGGTGCCCATCACCAGAATAACGATGTCTGCCCCCTTGTCTTAGAAACCGTCGACTGTCGATGCGGGCGGCATCGCCCCCAAGCACCGAGTATTCAGGATACTTGAGCATCCGGCCAATCAGTTGAACATTGGCAGCGTATGGGAAATGATGGTAAGCTGAGCTGTGGCTCAGGTACTGCTGAGAGTAGAATCTCCGAGCTCCATTGTTATGTGTATAGACGATGAAAAGCCCAGGGGTATTCATGGGTTTGTACGCCATGTAAAGCTCGGTGTTCTTTGAAGAACTTCTCTCTATATAGGTCAGGGTTCCCGGGCTGGAATATCCACTCCTGAGGCAAACTTAGCCGGGTGAATCGACCGGAGTTGGCTCATTGGGAATGCAGATACCTCCGCCCTTTCGACAATCATCTGTACCAGGGAAGAATGCGGATCTGTCATCGTTGAGAAAGATGAGGTCGCCCTGGTTGACATCGCGTTCTGGCGGGGACTCTATAATGTTGGCTAGCCAGTCACGGAACGGGTACCACAATGACGTGATTGCGCATGCTCTCTGTCTCGCTCGCTCGTGCTAGGTTCTCTTTGCCCGTGGCAATATATAACATACGGATCTGGATGATGCCGAAGCGCGCTATGGAAACACCGGCTCAAGTGTTAGCCCGAGAGGTCATCCTTTGCACCATGGAGAACTTTGTGGCCACTGTGGCGATAGCGATGACTGGTATGGTTGGTCGCCTTGGTCCGATGATTATGGGTTCAATTTCTATACTCGATCAATTAGATTTTTCTTCAAGAGGTCTGTTTCGCGTCTTCACCCGCTACTTGCCCTGTTGTTATAGCCGAAACTGTAATTGTATGTGTTCGCTCGCGCTCAATATCAGACATCATCAAAAGGGTTGGTCGTAGGACGATGGGAGTTGGGACCTGGAGAGGAAGAGTCATCGACGGGGTTAACGTGGAGGTGTTGATCGAAAGCCGTGGAGGAACACTGACAAATCGTCTTGGAAATTGTAAATAGAAAAGCAATGAATTAAAGAGAGGCTCGATGCCGAAATGCTCTCGGCTATACAGAGGAAAAGGAAAAAAGAAGAAAGGGTTTCGGTGGAGGGTTCGGTCCCATCTTCACAGGCCAAAAATCAGTTGGCATCAGTGAGGAAGGTGAGATGCCAAACGGCTCTGTGAGTCATGCCGAAATTATCGGACCGTGTCTGGCCCAGCATGAATCATCGCGGCAAGCCTCTTTACCATTATCGATTAGACTTTGCCTTCCATGTTCATGCCGTTCATTCCAGTCTATAGCTATCCACTGGACACTCGTCGGGAGTGATGCAAATCGCGGCTGCTCTCTTGTCAGGACAACCAAGGGAGTCTTTCGTCTCAACCTCAGGTTTCCCATGAGGTGTACTCGTTGAACAGCTCGCACACACGAGACCGCCTCAGACACTCGTGGTCCCAGGGGGAGGTATATTGGCAAAAGTGAGTCGCATTCGCCTTGGGCATTCCCAGCTTATATGTTCAAGTGAAGGGTACGGCAAGACTGACAGGTATTCCTTCCCGCATCACTAGGGGTACCTGTGAATACATTGCTATTGACTAGTAAGGGCTTTTAAATGCTCTATAGCATGTTGCAATGGCCATGCGCCGCTTTCCTTTCACCTCGCCATAGACACGTGCTCCTTGGGCGACATTCGACAGAGGAAAATAGCCCCGGTTCTAATACATGGCCCATCCACCGCTCGCCGAGATGGCTTGGCCGGTGACCCAGCGACTCTCCTCACTAGCTAACCATGCTGCTATCTGGGCGACATCATCAAACGTTCCCAGGCGGTTCTGAAGCGGTGTAGTGGCCTTTTGCATCGCGACGATCTCTTCGGGGATATTGTCCAGCATGTCGCTCTGGACGGGTCCAGGGTTGATGACGTTGACACTGTGCCCCTCCGTCCCTAGCTCCGCCGCCCAGCAGCGCGTTAGACCCTCCAGAGCCGCCTTAGAGGAGCAGTAGAGAGATAAGTTCTTGAAGCCACTTCGCGCTCCGACGGATCCGATATTGATAATGCGGCCAGGAGCGCGCAGGTGCGGCTTGACTTGTTGTACCAGGAGGAGGGGAGCGAGGACGTTGACTTGGTAGACGCTGTTGAAGTCTGCGACTTCTATGTCGGACAAGCCCTTGACAACCTCTACGCCGGCGTTGTTTACGACAATGTCGATGTGCGGCCCGAAGGCGCTCGTGGTTTGGTCGACAATGGCTTTCGCGCTGGCCGGGTCGCGCAGGTCTGCTCGGATGCCAATACACTCCGATGGACTACCGAAACAGCTGACCTGCTTGATGAGTCCATTGATGGCGGATTCGCTACTGGGAGAGACGTACGTTGCTGCTACCTGCCCACCTAGTCAGTGCTGCCTCGAAATGCCCCGGCGTGAATGTGAATCGACAGTAGGTGCTTATTACCTTGGCGCCGCGCCGAGCCAACTCAAGCGCGATGTTGAGCCCGATGCCTCGAGACGCTCCCGTCACGATGGCCACTTTGCCGTCGAGGGTAGGGAACGACCGGTCGACCTTTTGTGAAGATTCCATTGTGTTTGTGGTTGGTAAATTCACGATCCGGAAATTCGCGTCTCGTGCAGGAACTATTAAGTTCGGCTTATGCCAGAGTTATAATATGACGTCAGACCGCCTTCTCACAAGGGCACAGGAGGAAGCCAATTATCGATGACAGCAGACCGACAGGGCGGGGGTAGTAATTCCTCCTCGCCGGTAATCGACAACGCGGCAACCCCGCCAGTGTCCACCTCAATACCTTCTCTATCACCGCCAACTTCTCTTCCGCCGAAACGCAAAAAGATGGGCAAGAAGGCTAGCTTTTTATCAGGGAAGGTAAGAAATAAGGCAGCCATTATATGGATGCTAGGTGCAAGTCAAATTTGCCGCGAGAAGCACTAGTCGGTAAGTGTGCTTTTATCTGCAGGACCTACTGGCTTATCTTCCACAACGATGTTAGGAGAACTTATTAACCTATTATAAGCGCAACCCAATCCAGATAAGACAAAGAATGTTGCTGTCACTGCCAACAGAGGTAGTAAGAAGCTTAAGCGTCGATCTCATCGAGCAGGTCAGAAATGAAGAGCAAGCCATTGCACCAAATTCTCAGTAGCCGTGTACCTCGGTAGGAAACGCAGAACCTCAACATACTCCTACTACCCTGCAAGCCCTCATCTCTACACATACACAGCAACAGTGTCGCGGTTTAGGGATCACCTTCCGCTGTCTAGAAGACCTCTGGGGCCACCTTCTCGATTCCAACCTGGATAAACTACAATGCGGGACAGCCAATCCGATTAAAAAGTGTCTGCGGCCTGGCTTAGCAACACCAACTCCACAACTTCCAGGAACACAACCCGGACAGGACTCAGTTCCCATCCATACTAGCAACCTTATTAAAACTCGGCCATACCACACATCCAGCCTACTAACTCAGCACTCTATCCAATCTATAGGTTCTATGGACAAACCTTAGTCTGCATTTTCAAGGGCCTCTACAAACAGTATAATAGCCTGTCTCTAACTAGCAGTTAACTAACTTAACTAAAACTATACAGCTAGTAAGAGACGAGTCGCGTTTCATTAGACCTCATAAAAAAGGCCGTACCTGTATTAAGATGTGTTGCTTCAGATTCTGTTGACCCTATCTCAGCGGAAAGGGACTCAGAGACCGCTTGCAAAATATATAATAAGAATACATAAGTAGACAAGCTATAAAAATATCGCCAGCCCCTGAGCTGAGCAACACAGCACATCCAAAATACCCGTTTTGTAACGCTATAAGGTAGAGTTTTAATACGTTAGATAACTTTAAGGAACACATTAGGTAGTTTTGGGTGGTAAGTGATAGGATATAAGTCCTTGCACCTAATAGAAAAGGAGAGAATAGACTTATTACCAGGCCTCATCTCTTAACATTATTTTCATCTACTACTTTACTATTCTGGGGATCCTTAGAGCCTGGGATCTGTATTAGCTTATTATATTGATATTTTATAAGAATTATAATAGCATACTGTGATGGGGGAAAAGGTGACAGCAGTGGAAATGATGCAGTTCTCTCATGGGACCGCAGGAATGGAGGCGGAGAAATATTGTTCCTTACCATGGGCCAGGGGGCCTGGCTGTTCCTTTTCTTTTCTCTGCCCTCCAGGGAAGAACTTTAAGTTCTTCAACAAGTTTTACAAGTTCTTCAAGTATTGCAGTTATTAGTCTTTCTTTGAATGGACTTCCTTTTTATCAATTCTTCATGGATCACCTTGTGTGGTGACTTCAGACAGTTCTTCTATTGTTTTGTGTGCCCAAGTGCCCTGTATTAGACACTTACATGTTTCTTGACTTCCCCCTATTTGGAAGTCTCCTTTCTTCATGATCTGGCTCTATTTCCATTGATCAACCGTTTCGACGTCCCATTACCATTCCTGCAAGGAGAACTGCAGCAGCTTCTTGTGGGAACTATTCTAGACCATTTGACCATCTGTTCCTTTTGTTTCATTCTTGTCGTGACCGGGCAGGCTGTGCTGCTCCGTTTCAATACTGCTCCTTTATCTGCTCTCATAATCCCGTCCACCGCTTTCTCAAGCCGCCCTACTGGTTGATGCTGCACTGATTCCAATAATTTCTACGCCCAGCGGCAAAGAGAACGTATCTCACTGAATGGAGAAAACCCTTAGAGGGCACGAGGGCACTTGGAGAATTCTGGCTGCTATTTGTCATGGAAGGATGGTCAGGAATGCGCTAATACCCTATCGCATTTGGCCGTAAAGTCGTAGCATTGGCACAATTGTATAATGGTGATAGGGCAGCCTGTAGGCTTTCGCACTTGTATTCAACTATTGGCAAGTGGCTTCACTTTGCTGGAGGTCTTTCATCGTCAGATTTGGTAGATTTTATACGACTACTTCTATCATATCTCTAATCAACATTCTAGAAACCGGATGGGCCACCGATATATAGATCTAAATGCCGAGGTTGATAGTAAGCAAGAAGAGTAACATCACTGTTTATGTAACCCCTTTCCCGTGTTGGAAAACAAGCGGAACAATGAATGAAATAAAAGTGGGGATCATTTGTCCTCCAGCCAACATCTCACGTCTCATCAACACCCGCAAATATGAAAGACATCGCCAGTCCAGCCCCAGACACAACATCCGGCACACTTCGTCCAAACTTCCTTGATATCCCCGTGGAGATCAGAAGTATCGTTTATTACGATGCCCTCGTTGAACCCCCGAGATGGCGAAAAAGCCACAAGCCGCCTTGTCCCTTCACGCCCCGCTCAGCGAACGTCATTGAACGTCCACCCTTTGTTATGCACAGAGGCCCGCAGTGCGTAAACTACATGCCGGGTTGCTCCTGCGCAAAACGCCACAGCTTAAGCCTCCTACTCGTCTCCCGCCAAGTCCACGCCGAGGCAGCCCCGATATTCTGGTCCCAGAATACCTTCCACTTCTGCACAGGACACATGTTCGCAAGGAATATAGGACAGCAGCTGCGTGATGATTACAGAAAGCTTCTCAGACATGTGGTGGTCCTGCGGCATCTGAAGCTTCAAAACATATTCACCCACGGTCAAGATCAGTCCGGCATTGGTTTTGATTCGTTCTGGGACGCGCTGTTTCAGTGTGAGGGGCTTGTGACTCCTGAGATCCCGTGCGGTGTGTTTTGTAGGAACCATGAGCCCTGGGATGCGTACTTATATCATCTTCGGGTGTTGGCGAATAGGCTACCGAAACTTGAGAGCCTTCGAATATGCATGCTCGAGGTGTACAGTTATCGCGACGTGGAGATAGCGGGGTTTGTGTATGATCGCGAAGAGGCCGAGGATCTTTTCCGGCGGATGTGGGTGGATTTGCCCTTCCTGGAGTACAAGACTAAGACTGTCGCAGAGGTTAAGGCAGTAGTTTCGACTCTTCGGCTTGAGTTTCTGCGCAAGTTCAGGAGCTGTGTAGCACGTGCCCTGGACCGTCAATTCCACATCCCTCCTACAGGCCATAACTGGCGACGATTGCGGTCCACAGCCGTATTTTATACGTACCCAATGGAGCATATCCTCCAATTTGTCAACAACCCCACTGTCACCATCCGGTTGCCTAGTGATCTAGAAAGCTCTACCGATGATCCGTGGATCACTAAGATGTCTGGGGAGATAGAGGTCGAGCTCGAGGTTATGGGGCTGCCTATCACAAGACGAAGATTGGAATAAAGAGATCGAGGGCTTCCTGCTAGGGAAAGAGGCAAAACTATATTGGCACTCATTGAGGCTTCAAGAGTACTTTGGAATCTGTTTAACCGCAGGCATGGGCCTCGGGGTGACTGAGGGAGCTAAAAAGCTAGACCGCTGTTGTCATGGCCAGAGCAAGAAGTGTTAGGTTTCGGCAAAGGTTGGAGAATTTACGGCGGTCTGACAATGGCCGACTAGGCTCGTGGCACATACCGAGGTACATACATGGTATATAATAACTTATAAATAGGTGTCGATAAGCTTTCCCCACTTCCTCCTGATATTCAGCATAGTTTAGAACGGTCCAGGCCGGAAGGCTAGCGGTAGAGATGATATCAATGTGGTCCAATACACTCGCCAGTGCCTTCCTCTCGCAGTTGTAATATTTTACACCCTGAAATGCGTGTTGGCCGGTCTGTAATGAAACCTGGATCCACCGTCTCGTTGTGCATCCAAGGAAGGGACGGAGGGAAAGGGAGGAAAGATGAAAGAAGAGACAATTCTTTACAGCTCGATGGGGGGTTCTTGAGACACTGGAGGCGCGAGAGCCCTCGTCCGACGCGGCCCAAATCGTTAGATAATACCATAATACCACTGGGTCCTGGAGGAGTGGAAGGGAATGCGGATCTCATTCCCAAATACCTCGAACTAGGCCAAATAGTCGTCAATGGTAGGTGCCTACAGGCTGCCATACTGTCATAATCGAAGAACCTCGGCGGCGCCCTTTCAAGCGGCTTAGTCATGTAGCAGTGTTAGGCAGCAACTTTAGGCAGAAATATGTCTGAAGCTAAAGCCCTCACGACCGCCGCTAAGTGCGAGTGCATTTTATGTTCATGGGTGCCTTACGTTCTCTCCTGCACTGAAGACATGGCTCAGGATGTGTATGGGAGCCAATGGCACAAATTCAGACCTCGCCAATAATCCGAATTTACCTCAAGACTCATCGGTCAGCGGCTAAAAGTGAGTATCGAAACTGGTGATAGGTTCAATAGAAGACGCCTAACCATGACAAGATGTCTCGTGAGAGTGAACCAACCCATCCGTGTGCGTCGACAGGGTTGCCGCCTGGAGAACAAGGAGCTTCGGCATCGAAAGTCCGTCCGGAGCATCACTATCGAAAGTTCACCCCCATGGACCAAGCACCATCGCTCGTCAAAGATGTCGCTGTTTCCTCGACACTTTGTTCGGAATGCGGCCGGATATGCAAGTGGTACTCAGGTAACCTTGACAACGTTCGGTCCTGGGCCACCACTCATGGCGATGAGGAGATGGAACATGTCCTCCAGCACCATCCAACGTTTGAGACATTGGT